TTCTATGGGCCTGAGTGGGGTTCAGGAAGTAACAGGGGTGTTGAGGCACAAGAGACAAGCAGGAGTGGGAAGGCATTACTGCTGTGAGGACTTGGAGGGGAAAAGAGAGGAAATGGCATTGTTGGAAGAGCAAAGACAGGGGGACCCCCTCCCATAAGCAGCTGTTGAGGAAAGCACAGCCATTGCCCAGAGCACAGCAAGAAGGGTAAAAGGGAAATGTTCCAGCTTCTCTCTCCTCTAACAGTTCACCTGTTGGCAGAGTCTCCCATTCACTAAACCCACCCAGAAACCTGAAGGTAAGAAAGCCCAGGTGATTTGGTGCTAAGGGGTTTTGTTCCCCAAGCTCAGGACTAGGCACAGAAAAAAAATGGATGGGGGTTGGAGAGGGAACAAGAAAGGCCAGCCGCCTCACTAAGAATGGGATATTTGAACAAAGACCTAAAGAAGCAAGGATATCTAGGGAAAGAGTAGTGTAGGCAGAGAAAACAGGGCAAAAGCCCTAAGGCAGCAGATTACTTGGAACAACAAAAAAATGAATAAATAACCAACTAGTATGGCTTGAAGTAAGGTGAGCAAGTAGGAAGTGAGTCAGAGAGTCTGGGAGAGGACGGGGAGCAGATCTTGCAGAGCCCTCCATATAAGGCTCTTGTTAGAATTTTGGCTCTTTGAGTGGGAGTGGAAAAGAGCCACTGTTGGTTTTGAGCAGAGGACTGGTGTTGAGAACAGATTATAGGGGACCAGGGCAGAAGCAGGGAGGCCAGTCATCCAAGTGAAAGATGAAATGGCTTGGTTCAGGTTGGTCATTGTAGAAGGGGGTAAGAAATGGTAAGATCAGGCTCAGCACCTGCAGCTCAGTGTCTAGGGCGCCAGCCACATGCACCCAAGCTGGTGGGTTTGAACCCAGCCTGGGCCTGCCAAACAACGACAACTACAACCCTCCCCTAAAAAAAAAAAAATAGCCGGGCATTGTAACAGGTGCCTGTAGTCCCAGCTACTTGGGAAGCTGAGGCAAGAGAATCGCTTGGGCCCAGGAGTTTGAGGTTGCTCTGAGCTGTGATGGCACAGCACTCTACTAAGGGTGACATAGTGAGACTCTGTCTCAAAAAAAAAAAAAATAGTAAGATCAAAAACAAAAAAAAAAAACCTGGGAAATAACAAGTGTTGGTGAGGTGTGGAGAAATTGGAATCCTTGTGCACTGTGGGTGGGAATGTTAAATGGTGCCGTCGCTATAGAAAACAGTATGGTGGGTCCTCAGAACATTAAAAATAGACTTACAGATTCCTCTTCTGGGTACATATACCCCCTAAAAGTGAAAGCAAGGGAGATACCTGTACCCTCACATTCACTGCAGCATTAATTCATAACATTATTTAATTTATTTTTTTGCTATTGTTTGTCATTGTTGTTTAGCAAGCCCTAGCATGTGGCTGGCACCCTAAGCACTGAGCTACAGGTGCCAAGCCCATAGCGTTATTTTATAATAGTGAAAAGGTAGGATCAACCTAAGTGTCCATCAACAGATGAACGCATAAACACAATGTTCAACAGGCACAGAGTTTTCCATTTAGCAAGATGAAAAAAGTGGTGGTGTTTGCATGACAGGAATGCACTGAATACCACTGAAACATACACTCCAACATGGTTAATACAAATTTTATGTTATGTGTATTTTACCACAGTTCTTCTTCAAAATTACTTAACAGAAAAAGTGATCAGATTCTGAGTAGATTTTGAAGGTAGAGCCAATGAGATTAGCCATGGGCTCAATAGGGAGTGTAGGAGACAGAGCAGGTCAAGGATGACTCCAGGGTTCTTGGCCTGGAGCAGCCAGCAGGTGGGCAATGCCATCTGCAGAGGTGGGGAAGGCACAGTAGCTGACATAGTCAGGGTGCTGCTCAGATCCCCTTTTACAGTTTCTGGGCTCCCTCCCTTGGCTTCTGTGTGCTGATGCTCCTAACAGCCTGTGTCTGTGACTCTCTCCATCCCTTTGCCCTTGCTTGGAGGTGCCCGGGAGTTTACTTCCCCAGCCAGGTACCAGCGAGCAGTTAATGTAGGAGTGTGAACACCCAGCTTCTTTTCCCAGACAAACTCCCAGATGTAACTGACACCCCAAAGTTCCCCTCTTTGGGACTTGCCCTGCAGTCACACCCCTGCTTGGCTTCTTTCTCTTTATCCTGCTTCTCCCACTCATTTTTCAGATTCTCATGAAAGCACTTCCTTGATATGTCACTCCAGGCACAAGAATTCTTGGCTGCTCAGAGCAAGTAGAGCAAGCTTGGGATTGGGCAAAGATCAGAACTCCCACATGGGACATGTTTAGAGATGCCTAAGAGTGGCGTGTTGAGGAGACTGTGGTCGTGTACAGGAGAGATGTTTATTTGTCACAATGGGAAAGTATCAATTCTGGGACACCCGTGGGAGAAGAACTTGCCCGGGTAGAGCCCTGGGCCTCTGGAGCTTCTTTGTAGTCAGAAAGTTCATGCTGGATTGCTTGAGCTCAGGAGTTCAAGACCAGCCTGAGCAAGAGTGAGATCCCATCTGTACTAAAAATAGAAAAACTAGTGGTGTTGTGGAGCATGCCTGTAGTAACAGCTGCTTGACACCCTCCACCTACATAGGGCTATGACTCTTCCACTCTTTTTGTTTT